GTTTGGTGAATCCCAGTTTGGAGTCGCAGCTTCGAACGCTGGTCCGCTCACGACTTTGTATAGAGAAGGGAACTTGACCCGCTACATACGCGACGCAATTGCCACCGCCGTTGATCTACAGAAAGAGCATGCAGGTCAGCGAGAATGCAGAAGTTTTGAGAATTTTATCGTGTCTTGCTATCTACCAACGGTATTACACTTTCTGTGACTAGTTTGGGCGCTAACTTGCTGGCTCCACGACTCATTGGGCTCCTAAACGTATGAAAGTGTCAGGTGGTGCGTTTACACCGCAACTTTCTATAACTCTACATCTTCATCCTACCGTCTAGATCGTCCGGCGCCAACGCTTCTAGACGTACATCGTCCTCTGCGCCCACGCTACCGTGGTCGCCCTGCGCCATATCTTGTCGACGCCGGCGATGACGCAACTCTTGGTTCTCCCGTTCCAGATACTCCACACGTCGAGCAAGGCGATCCACGCGCTGCGTGATCGCAGCATCCATCCGGCGCACACGATCCTCTCTTTCTGCGCGACGGCCTCGCGCCTCTCGCGCATAGTGAGGGTAAACTTCGGCATACCGCCAATTGGGTCCTGAACCACGATGACTCTCGTTCTGGATCCACGGCTTCTCGTGAGGGTCGCGGCTCTCCTCACCGCGACGCTGCCATCTCTCCACTGGGGTGTTACTTGGCACGTTAGATGCCGAATAGTCGAGCGACTCGCGCCATTCTTCTTGCCGACGTTCCAGACTGCGTGGCAAAGTACGAGGTAGGCCTCGAACTGGTCGTAGGTCGCCACGACAGTGTGGCCGTCCATCTCCCCTAGCCCTGCCGAGGACTCTTTGGTAGCGTCCAATCACACCACGCTCCACTTTAGTAATCCGCCTCGATTTCACAATGCGACACCACTCATAATCATCGGGTCGCGGGGCGCCGCGCCCGCGACAGCGCTTACATCCTTTTCCACGATGTACAGAACAGCACTGGCGACCTTGGTCATCTGACAGCTGGCACACCTGAGCTTCCAAAGTACCGACGGACAGCCGAGCGTGAGTCGCCTCACGTTCCTGTAATGTGCGCTCGAAGGCTTCCCCGCCTTCCTTGTTCCATCGAAGTACGAACGAAGTCCATGCTTTGTCCAGGGACTGGAGGGTCACGGTTCTTGTGGCCGTGGCAGGCTTGCCCCGAGTAGCTCGGAACCGTTGAAAGAGACGCCTCATCTCGTCATTATTGCGCGCTCTTTCGATGGCGCTGCAGTCGTACAGCGCCCACCTTTCCAGCGTCTCCTCGTAAGTTGTCGGCTCGTCGTCCTGCGCGCTCATTGCTGCCCACTACCCAAAAACGCAGAATGCCTCGTGCTCTCTCTCTCCGAAGGGGAGGATTGTTTGACTGGTCACTGAGTCCACCAATCAGCATGCGGATCCCATCGATTGGTTGGCGTGGCTTTCAATCTCACAATTTATTGGATGCTTCTGTGAACATAGTAATTTGTATCCGTCCTTTATGCCAGGCAAGCCACTACGTCGGACGCTTCTCGGGTGTTGATGCTTCAGCAGGCACCTGGTCGACGGCTGGACGCGACAGAGACGCCAATTGTTTTTTTCCGATGCTGCAACTACGACTGCTTCTGCGTCTACTACACCTTCCATTTTGAGCTTAATCACGACTGCTTCATCCAGTTCCGGCTTCTACAGTACGTCCCGTGTGCGTATGATATAGTTGAGATGGTGTAGAATGACGAGGACGAGGTAGGGATCACCGCCGTTTCCTTCGCGTCGATGCCGTCTGGTGGCTCTCGTAGAGCTTTTCAGAGTGAAGACATCGTGATCGTGCGTGATCTAGACTCGGACGACGCTCTCGTGACACAGTTGAAGTCCCACTTGCCGACACGTCAATGACGACGGCTTTGTCTTACTCGGCACGAGAGATGCCAGAGGAGGAGGCGCCCAGAACTGCAGCGATCCGAGCAACTTGTGCTTTGCTCTCCGTTCCGTGCTACGAAATGTAGGTTCGTTACGACGGCTCAAAACAGAGCGATGTGCCTCTAATCCTGACGTCTTCGAGCTCGTCACTTTCGCTCTACTCTACCTCTGCTTCTGGCGAAGTGGTGTACATGCTCTGGTGGTACGCTCACCACGGTCGCCTTGCAAACGCTGGCTCGAACTGGGGCGCTCTTATCCGTGTGGACATATGCATCAATGTCCACCAGGTTGAACGCATGAAGGCTGTGGAGTCTACAGGGTCGATCACTTCGGAGTCCGGTTACGAACGTATCACCTACGATGGCTGTGCGGGCCGTCATGTGAAACCGCATCGTGCCGCATTACGACTGGGACAGCATCATCTATCTGGCCGACAGTACTAGCATGAAATACTGGACTACTGTCAATAACAGTACGTCGGACATCGACGAAGACAACATGCGCGTGCATTTAACTTATTTCTCGATGGATGCGAAGACAAACGACGGCCTAGTTCTTGGTGGTTCCACCACCAGTGAACGTGCTCCGTATCTTGCTTCCATCGGCGACGGCTGTCTTCTCCTCGTGTGGGAAGGAAGTTCCACGAGCGGAGATCTCGAGTACGAATTGACTGGCTGAACGATTCTACATGCAGGCTCTGCGATTAGTGAGAAGGTGACCGTGGGCTGCATGATGATCGGTGACTGGTATCAGGCGCTGAAGACGTTCCCCGGCGGGGATGTGACATACCAGTCTATGGGCACAACGCGTTCTTCGGCTGCTAAGACCTGAAGGGGGCGATGTAGTGTCTCAACGAGATTGCAAGCTTACCGATGCCACCACGAAGCTTTGCGTTTAACGTTAGTTTGTTTAGCTACGAATTTCTCGGTGTCCATAATTATAGTCGTCTTCTCGCGCTTGTTTGCGTCACCCGAGATCATGCTATCCTTTGGGGGAATATACCGTGGACGTTGAGCGATCAACATGTTCAGTTTACTTAGTGTAGAAGTACAGCTTTCCATGGTACCTCGCAGTTGTCTATCTAGGAAAAAAGAGATTGAAAAAACGGGGTGTCCAGTAATTGAGCACTTGGAAGCAGCTAGTACATTAACGATTGAGCACGATATTCTTTTTTATACCGAGCTCACATCCCTGACATCTTACGCAAAACACTTCTATCACTTCTTGTTCCAACTCAAATCCACTTAGCAGCCGTAGAACGCACCACCTGCAGCGAGGAGTCCGTCTTGCCCTTCGATAGGTATGCAACACTGCCGTCCGGATACGTCTTCAGAGCCTGGTAGCGGTTGCCCACCACGGACTTGTCCACCGTCACCTTGTCGCTGATGGTCTTACCAGTCGAGGCGTCCAGCACCTGCGCGTACATCGTGCGGTCACCGCCCTCCATGAAGTCGCCGCCCGACGAGCTGCCCTCCCACACAGCCAGCATGCCGCCGCTGCCGATCTGCGCGAGGTGAGGCGCACGTTCGTTGGCGTCCGTGCCGCCCAGAGTGATGTCCTCGCTGGCAGCCGCGTTCATGGCAAAGTGAATCAGGTGCACCTTGGCGTTGTCACCGTTGCCGTTGCTAACCGTAGCCCAGTACTTCTTGCTAGAGGCAACAGAGTCTGGCACGATGTCTCCCAGGTTGGCAGCACCCAGGTCAACCGGGTAGATCGTAGTGTCCCAGTCCTTAGGCGGCATGATACGGTTGTTGCTGTCCGTCTTACAGATAGTCGCGTAGCTGTCCGTGCGGTTGTCGTACGTGATACGCTCGTAAGCCGAGTGCGAGCAACCCCAGTCGAACGAGTCCTCGTCCGCCGTGATCTTACCCGTAGCGTCAACCACCTTCATGCGGTCACCCTGGTGAATGTTGATGCAGCCACCCTCCGACGTGGAGATGGCGGCACCGAAGTACGCAGCCCAGTTCTTGCCGTCGGACGCGATACGGCCGTGGTGAGCGTACCACCAGATCATGTACACGTCAGGGCCAGTCTTGCCCGACGAGTAGGGAGGCAGCGATGCACTCGAAGACGTCAGCTTCGTGGCCCACGACTCCTTCGTGCCGTCATAGCGGATCATATACATGTCATAGCACGGAACGGCCGGACTAGGAGCCGAACCGCACAGGTTGCTCGGGTTACCACAGTTGAGGGTACCGCCGCCCTCGGCGTCTCTCGTGCCGAGGATGACGAACCCATCCTTGTCGGCATAGATATCGGCGAAGTCGTGGACCGGGACCTTGGCAGTGCTGCCGCTCACGAGCTTGTCGCTAGCGTCCAGCTCTTGCACGATGACATTTTCGCCACTGTGGTAGGCAACGCGCGAGCCGCCACCTGGGATAGCAGCGATGGCCACAAGCTTGAGAGCGGCCTCATCCTCGTTGGTATCAACAGAGGCATCCACGGTCACTTCCGTGATTTCGATGCGCGGCTTGGCGCACAGCTTAGAGTTCTCGCCAGGAGTAGTCGAGGTCGACGGCGTGGTGGAGTTGTTGGAAGTGGTAGGGGGCGAACCGGCGCTGGATCCACTGGCGCTGGTGCTCGAAGCGACCGTGGGGGTAAGGGTGGTGGCCTTCGGCACCTCCGTGAATGTCAAGGAGGGGTCTGCCTCACCGGCAGTCTCAGCGGAGGACGCAACGTCAGTCTTCTGTGAAGCACCGTCATCGTCCTGCTTGGTGCCATCGTTGTTCTGCGAGGCATCAACGCTTGACGGTATCTCGACCTGCATAGGGTCATCATTGTTCTGCGCCGGGTCTTCGCTGTTCTGCGAGGCGTCAACGCTCGACGGCATCTCGACCTGCATGGGGTCGTCGTTGTTCTGCGCCGGATCTTCGCTGTTCTGCGAGGCATCAACGCTGGACGGACCAGAAGCAGGGCCCGAAGGGGACGTCTGGCTGGCATCCGAGCCAGGGTTGGAGTACTGCTGCACCGGGCTGTCGGGGGTAGTTTCCTGGCTGGCACCGACGTCCGAGGCGGTGGTGGAGTCCTGAGTGACCGGAGCATCAGAGCCGCTGGCGAGCGATGACGAGCCGGTAGGCGTGGCGGTCGTGACGTCGGGCATTTCAGGTTCTGGTGTCACCATGGTGCACTTCTCATCGGCGGCAGCGAAGCCATTGTTGCTAGCAAGGAGTGCGAGAGCAGAAGCGAGCAGGACGTGATACAGACGCATGGCTGGTTATGTCTTGGTCTTGCAGTGAACCGAGGAGGTTGTTGCTGTGGAAGGCCAATTGGAAAATGAGAAACAAGCACGTTGATGCATTTCATTCAACGGTACGAACAATCGATGAGGACTTTCGTTATCCTTATATCGTGCAAGAGGCTCATGAACTTCAGCTGGAACGAGGGTGGCAACAACCCTTAGGTTGAGCGTGATCTTGCAGACTTTCAGATCGAGCAACAACCATAAGTTGCCTCTTTCTTCACGGGCATATGTCATTCTTCACATCACGAAAGATTGACATGCATCAGTGTAAGCGTAGCGCGCGTTAAGGACGGTCGGACGACCTGGTGCGCTATTTAATATCAGTGGTACAGTAGCCTACCGGTGTAAATGTCGCCAGCTTTGATGAAATACGGCAGACGGCTGCATCTCTAACATTAGGTTGTCTTGCCCCCACCCCCACCCCACGCACGGTATCCTCTGTTTCAGAGTCTGTAGTCGTGCTGGCACGATAAAAATTGACTCATGTCCTCGACCAATTGTGCCGACAGCGGTAAGGTACAAGTGTGTAGTACTGTTACAGTACATACAGTACTACTGTATGATCATAAAATACAGTGTACCAAACTGCACATCATGTTACACTGTATAGTAGTCTACATGCTCGAAACGTAGGTACATGTTTCCCTGTACGGCTGGTCTCCGTGGTTGCAGCCGGCTGAAAAAAGGAAGTAATTTGCGAACTGATGGCCCCGAACATGCCGGTTGCAAAGTACCGGTACTGTACATGTAACTTGATCGAACAAAACATCTTTTGTGCAAGGCTGCTGAATACATGAAGGTGAAATTTAATGTTAGCTCTTACGTGCATCTTCAGTAACCTAAAACCAAGTGTGAAATTCCACCAAAGGCACTTGGCTATAGTTGAAGAATTTCAACATAAAAGCAAAGAGCCCTTCTGACCGCTTCAAGAAATCCATTAGCCTTCTATAACGTCGTGTTAAATTATTTTAGTTTTCTCCCTAAATTTGTTATCAAATCGGCTCAAAGTGTACATCGAATGGTCACTAGCTACCGGTATGTACTGTATGTACATTTGTAGCAAAAGTCTCCTACTTTACTTATCAGAACCCGTGGTTTTCGGGTGATAGAGAGCGTGGTCATTTGCAGTTTTGCGCGCACATACCGACTCCACTGCGCGCGAACACACCCACGGGCCGCCTCGAGAAGTACAACTTCTACGGCAATTTCGGCTCCTTTCCTGCAAATAAATTCGCTTTCGCCCTTATGAAGACCCGTAGATTAGCGAAAAAACATCTATAATACTTCGTGCATGTACAATGTACATTGTACTGTATATGCAAGAATTGGTGCCGTGGGATTTCCTTTTTATGCTATTAATAAGATTTGCTTGCAATGGGCTGAAAGCCTTGAGAATAATTCCTTCGTGGAGTGAGCATATAACTCGTCCTGACACTGTCAGGCTGACAGGACAGGACTCCTGTAGTGCTACAATCCAGCGAACTACGTGCGAGGTGGAGGTGGTACAGTAGCACCGTATCACCATGGCACGTCGCGAAGACTTCTCAATTTGTGATGCCACCAGTTGTGTCCTGTCTAATTGGAGCTCTAAAGCGAGAGGCCGCTGCAGCAACGGACTTTAAGAAATATCTGTTACGTTTGTCCTTTAAAACATATCAATCTCGTCGACATGTGGTTAGTACTTCTTTGTGGTTTCCAAAGATATTCTCAGTCGTTTGCGGCCAGCCCTGAGTGAGGGTCGTGGTGCATCAGAGCGGGGGAAACTTGAGAATGAGCCAAGAGGCTACACTAGCGACTCTGTTGGCTGCGGCCTCGTCCTCGCTTGTAACAATACAAGTTTCGAAATACACCAGATATTTTCCTAAGTTGGGCGCTACTGTCAATGGAGAAATAAGTATGATAGTAGGATGCATAGGGGGTTATTGTAGTATTATCTTGATGCTAAAGTATATCTATCATATTGCCCAAACAATTATTTATTCGTCGTTACCGGTACCTTCCAGTGGAACCTCCATGTATTAAAGCATACTGTACTATTAATACGTATTACTTTACGGTTGATCACCACACTTTGGCGAGGAGTCATCGAACAAGCAGCTGGAAATGAAGAAGCTGCTCTAGCCACAAACAGCGAAAAACGATTGTCTTCAGACCTTGATGGTGTCTGCATAAACGGCTTCCACACCGGATCGCGCATTGTGAACGTCTTTTCAGCAAAATGTAATCAAAAGTAGGGATTGTACAGAGCCTGACTCTGCTGTAACCCCCTGTTCTCAATTTACTACATTACCTTGTTCGTAGCAGGCTCAAATGACCGGCACGAATTACCCCACGAGCTTAGCTTAGGTACGGTGCTGTGTACTAAATGACACTAGGACATACTTGTAGCCCTTGTATCCTCTAGTCCTTCCATTGAGATCGGTCCACAAAAAACACCACCAACTTGATGAAGAATGGTACATCACGAGGTCTTGGCCAAAGGCACGCCACTCCATCTGGAGTCTGGTTATCTTTCCTGCTGTAATCCTATCGTCAGACGTATAATAGGGGGGGTCACACGGGCGTGTACGGTACAGATATAGTGTAACGACCACCTCCAGTGGGCATAGTTTTCACTCACGGTCCACTCACTTGCATTTACCAGCGAAAGCCAAGTCACTTCAACACACTCACACATCTAGAAACCATGCGTCTGTACAACGTCTGATGGCTCCACCGTGCTCTCTTGCGGCCTGTACTAGCGGCCTTGAGGCTGCAGGCACCACCAAGAATGGCTTCTGCGCCAAGCCGCGTATCCAGATCACGGACGTCGATGTTGGTGCTGCCGTCGAGGCCAACGAGGAGGAGGCCGCCCTCAAGCTTGTGGCTATCGCTGCTATTCCGGGTGGCGGCTCGCGCGTCGCCTTCCAAAGCGGCGACAGTATCATTGTCCGTGAGCTGGACGCCAAAGACAAACTCGTGACCAGCAGCCCCGCCGTCAAGGTGCCGCTCCACGACTTCGCTGACATCCACGCCGACAAGAACGGCTTTGTCATTCTCGGCACGAGAGACGCCGAGGGCGGCGGTATCCTCAACTGTGGTAACCCGAGCAACCTGTGTGGTTCGGCTCCTAGCCCGGCCGTTCCGTGCTATGACATGTATATGATCCGCTATGACGGCACGAAGGAGTCGTGGGCCACGAAGCTGACGTCTTCGAGCGCGTCGCTGCCTCCCTACTCGTCGGGCAAGACTGGCCCTGACGTCTACATGATCTGGTGGTACGCTCACCACGGCCGTATCGCGTTCGACGGCAAGAACTGGGCCGCGTACTTCGGTGCCGCCATCTCCACGTCGGAGGGTGGCTGCATCAACATTCACCAGGGTGACCGCATGAAGGTGGTTGACGCTACCGGTAAGATCACGGCGAACGAGGACTCGTTCGACTGGGGTTGCTCGCACTCGGCTTACGAACGTATCACGTACGACAACCGCACGGACAGCTACGCGACTATCTGTAAGACGGACAGCAACACCGTATCATGCCGCCTAAGGACTGGGGCACAACGATCTACCCGGTTGACCTGGGTGCTGCCAACTTGGGCGACATCGTGCCGGACTCGGACGCTTCCAGCAAGAAATACTGGGCTACGGTTAGCAACGGCAACGGCGACAACGCCAAGGTGCACCTGATTCACTTTGCCATGAACGCGGCTGCCAGCGAGGACATCACTCTGGGCGGCACGGACGCCAACGAACGTGCGCCTCACCTCGCGCAGATCGGCAGCGGCGGCATGCTGGCTGTGTGGGAGGGCAGCTCGTCGGGCGGCGACTTCATGGAGGGCGGTGACCGCACGATGTATGCGCAGGTGCTGGACGCTTCGACGGGTAAGGCCATCAGTGACAAGGTGGTGGTGGACAAGTCCGTGGTGGGCAACCGCTACCAGGCTCTGAAGACGTACGAGGATGGCAGTGTTGCGTACCTGTCGAAGGGTAAGACCGGCACCTCTCTGCAGGTTGTTCGCTTCTTCGGATGCTAAGATGTTGCTGGACGCGGCGCAGAAGTCCGCAGTAAAATTCCTAGATGTGTAGAACTGGTGATCACAGCTTTAGGTGCCCTGAGATTTTGGGTGGTTAGACTTTGCCATGAGCGTACAATAAAAAAAAAAGAGGACATGCATTTTCAGAAATCTTAAGAGTACAGTAGTCGACGACATTACTG